TTATATACTTATTTACTTTAATTCATGTATCTCATGTCAATAGACACTGATCAAAAATATGTTTTATACTACTTTTATTTATCAAATTGCATTTTATAATTTCAATTTGTTCTTCTACATTTTACTACAAATAATATTTGATTTTTAAATGAATTGTGATTCAATAATTGAAATACAATTCACTCTTGGATAGCACTGACAATCAAATGCCACCTGACAATAATTGCAGTTGTCAAACGTAAAGATAGTGGGAGGTCCACCATTTACAGAGTTACCAATGAAGGTAAAAACACAGAGGGATTGGATCTTGTCAAGGATTATGAGGACGGATCATTGAAATTTGTGAAGAATGTGGAAGAAAAGCAATGTCTTTGAAGAGTAAACATAATCACTATTCTTGCAAAATTTTCATTATTTGCTTTACAATTTTAACATCTATGGAACACTGCAAATATAAACAATAAACCTTTTGCCAAATGACGGGATCTTTGTTCCCTATCCGTGCCACCTTAAATGAATCTGCAATATTCATCATAAGAATATTTTGAACTATTGGCTGAAATTACGATCAGTTTTGTTCAGATTGAAAAATTGTTAAGTCCAATTAAGATATGCAGCATGGTTAGAGCATGTGTCAGGATTAGTTATGTGTCGAGTTTAGATCTCCAAAAAGTTTATAATTACATATTATAAATGATGTGAAATGAATAACAGATTATTAAACAAGAGGACCATGATGGCCCTGTTATCACCCACCTGTATATAGGCCTCTGGGCCAAGGCCAATTTTGACCCCATGACGTTAAATATTAAAAAGGTAAATGAAACATCTCTAAAGAATAAGACTTAATGAAATTGGACTTAAGTCGTGAAGACTGTGTCCCAAAGTATATACCGCCTGGTTATGTGGAAACCTGAATTAGAACTTTCAAAAAATTACTAAAATTTACCATTAAATGTTTCAGGCAAATTAAATTCATGGAAGCCGTTCACAAATTATTACGTAAATAAACCAAGAAGAATATATGTGGGAACATCCTACCGAAAGTGTACCTTCGATTTTAGACAATGAAAAAGAAGTGGATATACAAATCTTTTTTAGAGCCAGTATCATCTCCATCTTGTCAGATACACCACAGCCATAACAAATATTGGGTACTAATAAATTACTGATTGGATAATATAGGCTATCACAGAAATGATGAAAGAATTGTGACAGATTGTATAAAAACAATTATCACAAATATATTGGAGAAACAAAAATATATGGGAGAAACAATTATTAATGTCAAGAAACAAAAGACTGATAAAACTGATTATGCTCTTTTTTGATTTTGCTACTATGTACTGTTTAAAAAAATAATTCTTGTTTTGATGTTATGTTTGATGCAAAGAAAATGTGAAATTCATTTCTTCAACTGCTTTGAAAATGAAAAATGTTACAATTTCCAATTACGTCAAGGAGGAAAAAATGTCAAAGTTTCTAATACATAATTATTTCATAATTAACATGCTCGAATGTGTAAGTGGTTGATTTAGTGCAACAACTGCAATGCGTTCAGTTACGATAAACGTTCGCCAACGGTCGGTAACGTTCGGTAACAGTCGTTATTGAACGGTATGTTGGCGGAAAACGTTTTGGACCAATAGCTAACGGTTTCAGAAGGTAGTTAGCGAACGAAACAAAGATGGCGGACGAGTAAGTTGCACGTTAATTTTTTATTGCAAAAAATGTAATCTTGCTTTCCCAAGGCCACTTTTATGAGAAAATTAACTTGTAAAATACGTAATATATTCGCCTTCATACATTGTATGTATACTTTTGGTAAAATACTTAAATACATTGCGTAAAAATTGGCCAAAACTCAAACTTGAGAAAAACAACAACAACTTCGAAAAAAATCAAAAGAAAAATAAAGTTTATGAGACTATTGGGCAAAAAAAATATTGTTGAAGTTGCATTTTCTCATGAAATCGTGCATATTTTAAAGGTAAATGTTGCATAAGATCCATTGATACGTGGAAAAAAAAGAGAATCGCATTGTCTATTCTATAAGGGGAATGGGGGATTCTCTCATATTTTTGAGAATTCCCTCCTATTTTTACAGATGCAGGGGGGAATTTTAGATAGAAACATGAAATGTTATATCTATACCGACAATAAATAACTTTGATTTGAACAGATGTCCTAGATTTGACTGTGCCTTTGATACTCAACACAAAGTGTTTATTGTTTTGTTTCTCTCCTTATAAAATGTATATTTTGATTCATTTATATATAAACTTTTGTTGTCAAAAAGATGTGTTTAAATTGTATATTGAGACAAAGGTAAGATCACAAGCTTTTCTTTAGTGTAATAGTAAAAAGAAGGAAAAAATATCATTTAAAAATTGCAAAAATTCATAGCCAAGATCACAGGCTTTTCGATGGTGAATATTGATGAAAATCAGATGATAAATTGCAATAAACAAGCGCGAAAAATACCTCAGCAAATGTTACTTGTTTCAACAATTGAGAAACAATGACGCAATGTATTGATTTTCTGCGATAATATCATATGGGAAACAACTTGTGTTAATTCATTTGATATACCTTGGTTATTATGCAGTTCATAAAGAAACTTTTATGGGTGGAAGTTCATCCAACTTTAAACTATGCACGATATATACATGCATTTCTTTTGGTATTCCCATGACTATGATTTTACATTTTTATCCCATTATCTATTCTCTCTTACTCTAAAATTTTTTGGACAATTTAAACTGAATTTAAAATGATTATTTATTTTTGCTTATGTTTCCAGAACATTTCTAGTGAAGCTGACGATCGACAATGAAGAAGTTACTGTGAGTGTAACTGCTGACATTGTTGAGGCACTCAATTCTAATGGTGAGTTTTTTTTAGAAAAAGCCATTTGTTTTATAACCTTTATTCAGGAAAAGGTGATTGTGTGATCACTTTTCATTGTATGGAAAAAGTTCTAATTCATTTAACACATTTACAGTAAATTACATTTAAATGTTAGAGTTATAAGTCCATGATATCTTTAGATTCCTGGTTATAGTTCTTCTGTAAAGATTTTAGGGGAATGTTTCTGTCTCTTTAACAAAATATGTGTGAATAAGTATTAAAGTGACAGAGTATGTATAAACAACCAGTTCCAACACATTTGTTACAATAATAGGTATATACATGTTTGACGCTAATGTGACTCACTGTCAAAGTCTGACACACAATAGTCTACTATTGTTTAGGTAATAGTGGTTGTTGAAAAGAAAACCAGTGGTTTTACAAAGCAAGAAATGGCAGAATGGAACATGCCTTAACTTGGCAATTTATCAGTGTGAAGTCTAGAATTTGAAAAACAGGGGGGGGGGGGGGGTTACCAAAATGTGAGAATTTATTACTTTTGTGGATCTTTTTCCTACTTTCTCTATGTAAAATTTTCCCCCTGCCTCTGAAAATATACAGAGTAATTCTCAAAAATAGGAGTGAAATCCCCCCTCCTACAATAGACACTGAATTTATTAATTTTATTGATTCATGTTGTCATAAATTTGTAAATTTTATAAACATTCAAGATTTGTATTATATGACTTTGAAAATTGTTTTGTTTTTTAGATACTATGGTAAGACACCATGCTTATGAGCTTGTTGCAAAGGCTGTTGGGAAGGAAGCAGGTAAGCTTTTAATTGTAACTTAATTATGTGATTTTTTTAACATTGCACCCATACAATAGAAAATTGTCAAGTTAATAACAAACCGCTCAGCCAAAGACGCCCTGCTGGTAAAATCTTACTGATACTGTCTTTGAAGAATGCAAGGAAATCTTCCACAATGCAACTATCAATGTCTTAATCTAGCATATTCATCTGCTGGTAATTCAAAGTAACTTACATTACTTTAAAAACTACTTATTTTATACAAAAAAAACTTTCATCACATTACACTTTTATGTATGTTTTCTGTTATGTAGAAAAAACAAGCAATGAAAGTCACGATGACATGCCACCAACTGAGCTGCTGAATGCTGACACCAGAGACCATAAATGAAGTTGAAGATGATCAGCCATATCAGAATGTCAATCCAGTAGGAAGTAGTCAAGTTTTGATTCAATACTATCATATATGTCTGAATTTTAATATTCAACAATCTATACAATATTGGTGCACAATTTAGTGCATTCATAACACCATGATACAGTTTATGACATATCTAATGGTTTCCTTTGTACAAGCTTTTCAATTCAGTATATCAATATAAAGTACATGTATTGATATTCATATTTCGAGAAAAGTTTAAAGCTGTCATTGAAAGAAATTTTTATATCAATATATTGAAAGATAGATAACAACAATATATATTGATATATCAAACTATGTAGTTAGTACAGTGTAAAACACTTAAATTTGTTTTTAGACTATGTTCATGGTGTTATGTATACTAAAACTATACTAGTTTGAGATGTCACAAATACAGTTAACATAAAGAGAGTCTGTTTTCTGTTATTGTTTTTCTTGCTTACAATGAAAATTGAACTAAGCTAGCCATGAAATATGAAAAGAAGTGACTTCTCGATGTAAACAGAATGGAAAGATAAGTCATAAGACAAGAAGAAATAGATTTTAGAGTGTATTGATATTAATACTGATGATACATTGATATGACAGCACTATGATAAATCTAAACACAATTTCCATCTGTACATGTAAGATTCTAGAAATGTCCACATACTACCAAGATAATGTGTCCTTTCTAATTCCTATCCTCTATGATCTTTATAAAAAAAGTTAAACATTGAATGGTATTGCTATAAGCATGTTCATCATTTAAGTAATTTGCACTTGTTATATGATTACTTTTCTTAAACTTAATTTGATATGTTTAACCTAATTTTTCAAATTATCATAATCACAAAGATCCTGTTGGCATTCCAACTTTATAAAATTCATTAAATAAAAGACTTCATTGGTATAACTCTATTTTTTTGTATATAGGTACTGTTGTGTGGAGTCATGAGGCTGTCCTGCTCCTAATTAGTTTGTATGCTGAGCATAAAAGTATGTTCAGCAATAGTATTTACAAACAAAAGGACGTTTGGGTAAAGATTGCAGCTGGTATGGCCGAAAAAAGGACATCATTTTCAGCCTCACCACTGTGACAGCAAGTGGCGTGCCTTGAAACACAGGTATGTTGTTATTTGTACTATACTTCAGCTGTTCAATAAATTTGTGTTATCGAATTTTCCAGAAATGACAGACTTCTTATCCCTCAGGCTGTCTGGAGATCTCTATTGAAAGAGAGAGAGAGATGGCTACTTAAATCAATGTCTTTGCTTTTTTCCTTGCCCTTGGATTAAATGAACTATTATTAAAAATGAAAATCTGTAAACTTTAAAAAAACTGACTGATTTGTTCTCTGATATTTGGCATATTATTTATGGGAAACTTTGAATGCATTATATGTGCCATACGGAATTGTTATGTACTTTATAAAATTGTTTTCCAAAGTATCTGCAATGAGCATCACTTTTCAATTATCTTTTGTACAGACACAAGGTTATAACTGATGACAACGGGAAAAGTGGGCGTGGACGACGAACTTGGCAATACTTTGATGCCATGAATGAGGTTTTAGCAGGTGACCCTGCAGTGAGGCCTTTAAGAGTGATTGGGTCGGCAGAAAATGTCAGAGGTGAGCTTTCTATAGACCACTTCTATTTACAACTCTTATCTTAGGGTAAATACTCTAGTCTTTGGTCTGCTACCTATGACTTTATAAGTAACAGCAACATTAAGGCACCTAGAGTGGTATGGACATTGGTTAGTCATATTTGCTCTTAGTGGTTCCATTCACACATCTTGCATTTTCCATGATATTGCCAGATTTGTAATATAAATACTTTCTTTGATTTCATAAGGTAAAGTAAATATCAGCAAATGTTTATATGGATTGTCTCTCATCCCCCATTCATTAAAAGAAGATGAATAGATCCCTGAACTGTCTAATAGTAAAAAATGAATACTTATTATCATATTAGTTGATATAATAAGAATTTCACCACAATATATTTGATAACAAAAGAGCACATGTTTGTGGTTAAATTTATTAATATTAAAATAAAAGGCTGGAGTAAGGTTCCATCAATTGAATAACATTTCTTAGGAATTGATTATTTCAAGGAGCAATGGATTTTTGTTATGAATCAGAAAGTAATAAAAAGTGCTGGAAATTGAAAATAAAAGACAGTTTAATAAAAAAAATTGGGATATAATTAATTCATGTAAAGCATTTGTGATACTCATTCATATGTTGAGGTAAAACTGTAATTATTTGACTATATGTATTTATCTTTTAACAGAAACAACAGAGAAAGTTGAAGTTACCAAAAGTAAGCCACCACTGCCACCAAATTCATTGCGGGTAAGAACACCATCACCGTCATTAAGACCAGTATCACCTCCAACCCCAGCAAGGTCACTGACAGCATCACCCTCACCATCAGAGAGTGGAGTGATAAAGACACCGATAAGGAAGAGGAAGAGGAGCGGCGAACCACCAGAGTGGTTTCGTTCATATGCTGAACAGGCAAATCGACGTATGGAGGCTCTAGAGGAGAGCAATCGGCAGATGATTGCTATTGCTCGTGAAAGAAACTCTATCTTAAAAGCACTGGCAGAAAGTCTTTCAAAACAGTGATCAAGATGTTCACCTAGAACTGTAAAAGATAGTTTTTTGTACTAGATGTTCACCTAGAACTGTGAAGGATAGTTTTTTTTGTACAAGACATTCACTTATAACTATAAAGGATAGTTTTTTCGTACAAGATGTTCACTTAGAACTGTAAATTGCATTAGTTATTTTTTATTCGTTGTGTGTGCTTAACAAAGCTGCCCTGTAAGTTTATTGTATAACTTAGACCTCTTTCATCAACATTTTTTTCAGGAAATACCTGTAAATATACATGACTGTTAATTTTTCACTGTTATTATAATGAATAAATTTTAATTCTCAGAGTTACTCTCACTTATGTTTGAAGCACTTCTAAATGGAGACTATCATAGTTATATGGCTAAGTGTAGGCCAATGAACTTCACAAAGTCGACTACCAGATATTAAACAAAAGAAATTACAACCTTTGTAAGCATTTGAGCTGTGTCTCTGTTTATAAAATTGCCTGTCATTCCAAGTGTGTTGCAACAAGTCAATGTTGTTGAGCAGCAATCATTTAGTTTGCTCTGTTATTAAATAATTGATCGAGTAAACGAACAGAAGACAGGCAGTCCAGTTTATATGTACAGTACAATTTAAACAACTTCACCACTTACTATAAGCCTCCATACATTGAGCCCATGAAACCGGTCTTTCAAAACGCCTCCAGATAAGCAGTTAGCACAAATATATTAATGAAAATAGAACTTGACAAAAATGTTCAGAGTATAAGAACAGCAACAATATTTTCAATGGAATACATTATTTGCATTTAATATGTGACTTGTGACCAATTTGGCAATACTTTACAGCATATTTCTACTGTGTGACCAACACAAAAAGGGCTATTTCTATATTTTCTCCTAATTGAAGTTTATTCTGTAAATTCATCATATGTTCTGATAATATTTCAATTATTTATATTTTTTTATCTAAAGGAATGCTGCTTTATGGTAATGAATTTTGATACACTTGCATAAAGTTAATGAAATCCTATATTGCAAACTCATTATACTTTTTTTGTTGGTAACATTAGGCACATGTATATAATAATAGTTATGAATATGGCATGAAAGCTCAGTTGGTTATACCACGGACTTGTCACTCATTAGGTTCCGGGTTTGATTCTGGGTAACACCCTTGTGATTCTTCAGGAACACTTTTAGTGTTTCCCATCTACGTTATCAATTATATAGATAAGAATGTATTGTACTTCACATACGTTAACAAGATATGAATGGGAGAAAATATTTATATGAGTAATGACAAACAACAACATCTTGTGATATGTATAACAATTTAATTAAGTTCAGATTTGAAAAACAATAACAACCTATTTAATCTGCATTCTCACATCAATATTATTTAAATTCTAGACCCAAAATTAATGCCTCATTATCTTTTGTTTACATATAAGGATACATTTGCAAATGCATTCTAGATGATATTCATATTGATATCAAAGAAAAATCAAGGAAGGTTCCAGTCGAGTCAGTCTGCCTTTTAAATTTTGCAACATACTCAGTCTCTGTGTATTAAAAATTTGTTCAAAATTTATAAAGTGAAATTAACCTCACAACTACATATAATTACAGTTCCACTATGGTCTTTCAATTTACAAGATAAAGCACTGTCCTATGGCAGGTAATAATTGACTAGAGTAGACTAATATGCTAAGAAATGACCCGGTTACTAGCATAAGTATTAGCTTTTATAAATTAGTCACAATTATTGCACAATTATTGGATAATTCATACAATAACTTTCATGTAAGTTGATACAGCAAAGCAATTTTCAATTTCAGCAGACACTTTCCAATAATAACATTATAACAGATTTGCTACATGCTGCCTCTTTTGTGCAGCCTGGCCACTAACATTTTCCATATTGTCAGTCTGGTCAATATCCGCGTCCCCACCACTGAAATCATCAACAGACTCCTCAGAGTCATCACAATCATTCTCCAATATGTAGTTGTGGAGAACGCAGCATGAAGTGATAGTAACAGGGATTTCCTCCACCATTAACATATCCAGGTGTTTCAATCTCCTGAATTTACACTTGAGCAGTCCAATTGCTCTTTCAACATCCACCCTAGTGGAGGAGTGTACTTTGTTAAACTTTTTTTCCACTCTGTTTAGATGTCCATTATCTCTAAACGGAACTAACATGTTGACTTTTAATGGGTAGGCTGAATCTCCAAGAAGGTGTTTGTCATGAGGTAGGTTGGATACTGTTTCTGATATGGGGCTGTTTCTGTATACCCTTGCATCATGCACAGATCCAGGCCAGCCAGTGTAGGTATCCAAGAACTTCAGTTGGCTGTCACACACAACTTGTAGTTGCATACTTTGATACCCTTTCCTGTTGATATAGGATGACCTGTGCTCAGACGGCCCTGGTATGGCTATATGTGTACCATCAATGGCACCTACAACTCCTGGCATTCCACACTTTTCCCTAAAGCCTTTCTCTACCCTTTCCATTTCCTGTCTTGTCCTTGGCATTCTTATGTAGGTTTCCCTCATATCCGAAATCACTCTACAAACTTGTTGGACAATGAGGTGTAACGTGCCTGTAAAATATGATAAGTTGTCAATAAGTAAGTCACAAAATCAACACATTTTACATTAAAGTAAAGCACAATATTTTGATAAAATTAGTTTCAAGTTTCATTAAAAATCATTCAACAAATATCATTTACATTGGTAAAACTTAACCATTTTTCTTTTAAAAGTTTTAAAAACATCATTAGCAACTATCTTTAAAAAAATTTTTTTTATAAAAACTTCAAAATTTGAGTAATTTTTAATTTTCAAATGCAAAAAGGACAAAAAATTATAAATTGAAAGAGGAATTTATTAAATACTTTTAATTTTTTTGAAGAGAAAAATAAAAATAATTTTGCGACCCCTGGTCAATATAAAAATTCTATTACACATAAAAAAAAACAACATTTTAAAAGGGAAAAAGGAAAAATTTCATTAATGTCTCTAGCGTAAAAACGCTTTATTAGTATCATATAAATAACGCAAATGAAATAAAATCCCAATGTTATTTCAAATAGGAATTTCGTTTTTTTTTTAATGGGTTTATTACACCCCCCCTGTCATGGGTTTTTTTTGATACAGTTTATGCTTTTCAAACTTATTTTAATTGCTGTAATCTCTCGACATTAAAACAAATGCACTCACTTTGGAATAATTCAACAGTGAAACTACATAGTTGGAAATTTCACGATAAAATTATCAAAATTTAGTTTCAGCTTATCCAGACGACCAGTGTGAAAAGGGCATTAATATATTTATAGATATTTCATGTATAGTATTACCTTTACTCATACCAAATCTGTCTCCCACACTTCTGTAACATTCTTGCGTTCCTAGTAACCACAGGGTGGCTAACATCTTTGTTTCCAGGTTAATTGAACGCTCTCTAGGAAACTCGGGCGCAACTTCAGTGCATAACATCTGAAGAACAAATTTAAATATGTTTAATATGAATGGCTTTTTCACAAAGTTTGTGGTTAAAAGAATGCATATTTTGATTAACAAAACAAAGTTAACAGTAACAGTAACACCAATGTATATCACTTATTAAAAGTGGGGGCGTCCGTGGCCGAGTGGTTAAGGTTGTTGACTTCAAAGCATTTGCCCCTCATCACTGTGGGTTCTAATCCTGACAGGGACTGTGGATTCATGTGAGGAAGCTATCCAGCTAGCTTACAGAACATTGGTGGTTCTTCTCAGGTGCCTGTTCGTGTATGAAAAATGCACGAAAGGGCACCCGAGGTCTTCCTCCATCAGTAAAGCTGGAACGCTGCAGTATGATCTACACTATGTTGGTGCTACATTAAACCCAATCAAACAATCAAGCAAGCAAACTAAGTAAAAGAAAACTTGGTCCCAATATTTTCAACAATGATTCTATCGGTTACAGAGGAAGACAATTTACTTAATGAAATTTTACTTTATTTCGGAAAGTATCAATAGTATTTCGTAGCAAAATACCAAATAATTAACAACCTAACAGTTAGAGGTATTTCAAAAATACTACGACAATTGTCCATTTATTTCTGTTTAATGTAAGTTGCTTGTTTTGTAAATGTCATTGTGTAACAAATTTGCTTTCAGTCGTTACCTCAAATGTTGATCTCTGCATTCTAAAATGGGATTTGAACTCCAAATCAGAGTATATTGAAACAACCTCAGGCACATAACCTTCAACACGTACTGGATCACTTCTGCTGGACAAAACCAATGAAACAGCATCTGCAAGTTATAAAAAATCTAAAATAAGAGACAAAATAATTTCAAGAAAACAGTTTTCTCAATTCTCTGTTATACATAGTATATATGAGCTAAGCGTCACAAACAATGCGTTTGCGACAGCAAGAATCCAGACGCATCCGCGCAGTCATCTGATCAGGACCATGAGAATTGGTCACAAACCATTATGTTTGGTTTTGTCATGACACGGCTCATATATAGTATATACATATGCATTAAGAAAACAAATTAGATGTATACATCAATTGACTGTTTCAAAACTAGCAAACAGGATTTTCAGATTTTTACCAGAATTTTCAACTTTTTATCTCCCTTTCCCCTGTAAAATTTGTTTAAAAGGCGGACATGTGTAATTTAAAAAAAAAAATTTTTAAAACTTTTTTGTGTCTAAAGAGATTTGAATTACATACTGAGCAGTGTTTTTTTTTCACTTTCAGGGGAAGGTGGTCGGTGCTCGTTTGGAGGGGGGAAAAATGCAAAGGAGGGGGAATTTTATTTCTTAACAAATAAGGAGAAACAAAAACAAATCCAATGCATATTTTAATACACCACAAACCCCTGTAAGATTTATTTTTGTTTGACATTGTTTTCTTAGGGGAGCAACTCTTGCAACACAAGTTTAAAATACGTCGCTTTTTTTTTATATACGGATCTAAAATATTGACAGCAAAATTATTTAAAGCATTGCATGTTAAACTTGTTGGGACGCAAGGAGTAGCTTCCCTTACATACCCAGGAACAATTTGTAATGTGTAAACAACTTTGCTTAACAGTAAGTCTAACAGGCTTAAAATAAAATATTTTTCGGCAGTTATATGCAACAAAATGGTATTCATTGCAGGCAAATATTGGCTGCCATATGGAGGGAAATGAATTGGACAATAAATCACAATAAACTTGCGGTTTTAATATGACAAAATTTGCATCTTTTAGCATTACAAATTACGATTTTACTCAAAGATAAGGGAAACAGCTCATGTTTTTACTCTCATTTTACCTTGGCTATCTTAACAGTTTATAAGAAACCATGATTAGGTGAATTGATGTATTGATGTATATTGTACATTGACACCAACATGACTTATAATTTCAAAACATGACCATGATACCATAGAACATTGGCTACAAATTGCCATTGAATTGATTTTATTCATGATTGAAATTTTTGACCACCAAAACAGTCCGCGAAAAATAGGCAAAGCCTGAGCCCCAGTCTAGTAAAATTCTGTTTGAGGTAGCATAAAATGTAGGAGGCATAGTCCGACAGTCTACTTACACTTACAATGTTTTGAGATCCGAAAAAAAACATATGCAATGACTGAGGAATTGTTGACTTTTTTCAAGGCATCAAAATTTTCCGAATTAATTAGAATATAGATAAAAAGATAGTTTATTATCTCAACGCCACAGTTTATTACCCCAACGCCACTATAAACAAATTACATATGTCAATTATCACTAAGGGAAATCTAAAAGTACGACGAGACTTCCCGGACAGTTTAAAATCTTGAACCGGCGTTGTAATTCGGGTGAAAAGATGTGATTTTAACAGCAAATAAACAACAATTACAAGAAATGTGAATATACATACTTAGAGAAACATTCATGACATCCATTGCCAATGTTTGATTAGAATTAAATTGCGTAAATAAGTCATCTTCCGCCAATTCTTCTAACAAAATCGCTGATATTATTCTCCTGTCCGCCATCTTTAAACGTTAGCGCCAAAACGGTTCGTTCGATTAACCGTTTCGTAACAGTAACGGTGATTGGCTAACGTAAAATGGGTACTGAACGCACTGCTGTTCCATTCGTTACCATAAAACATATTTAAAATGCTCCTCGAAATATTTTAAATGTTGGTGAAATAGTCAACTGTGGTTTGTGTTAACATAAAATGTTGCATCTTATTCTTTCATTTACATACAAGTTGGCATTATTGTAATCTATGTGCACATTTACAATCTAATGATCAAGTATTGACAGTGACAACATATACTTGAACTTTTTTAAATCATTTTTTAACAGGACGTTATAACTTGCATAATAAAATTGTATAAAAAATAATAATTTTGTTGTATATATACGGCTTTGTTTTTTTAGATAAGAGTCTAACGACAGTTTTTTGAACATCCATTTTTTCATAAATCGGGTACGCTGAATCCATTGTTAGCTTCACCACGGCTGTTCTCTTCTAAAGGTCAAATCAACATGGCGGCCTCTGGCTTTTTTTACACAATGTGTAGGTAGGTATATTGCCCACTTTTATATGACTTCAAACCTTAACAGGTCATTATTAAAGGACAACTTATCATTATCAGGTATCTGAGACATAAAACCATTAAATGTTTGAGTTTTTAATATGATAAAATAATATGTGTGTAAACCTTTATGGAAAGTAACTCATTTATGATTTGTGGGCCATAAGTTAAGGTCAGTATGCCAGTATATTAAAGAAAGAGTTTATGACTGTTCAAAGTATGGTCAATGAGCTCCCCATTCTTGCTGCAAGTGCCTGAATTTACTTTGAATCACAATTATAGGGTTTGTATGAACACATCTGCGGATGTTTCCAAATTCAAAAGTTTACTATTTCATGTTTAAATGTTGAATTCTGCTTAAGCCGGTGCTAGGGGGCGTGGACGGTAACTTGCACTTTCCAGTACCGTCCATGAACAGGCTCAATCAAACCGAGCCTGCAACATTTTCAATTTTGCCGTGTTGGGCTTTCTTTAGGGATTCTGTATTATCTATTGTATGCCTGACTGTAACTTTCAAACTGTATCTTTCAAGGAAAATTAATTATCAGATGAGCTACACATTTCAACTTCCATACTGATGATTTTTATTTTGTTTGGTTTTCGGTCCACAAACACATTTATGTGATATGGCGACCAAACTGAGAATCAATTCTAAAAAAAGGTTTTGTTTGGTTTTACGTTGCACAAACACAATTCAGGGTTCAAAACAACTTCACCTGCTGGAATTTCAGATACATAGACTAAAGTAATTCAAAAATTTGGAAAAAGTGTGATTTGAGCGATTCTCAATTTTCAACACTGAAAAAGTGTTAAAGAAAAAGAAAAGGACAAGAAAACCAACACTTAGCTTACGATCACGCAGGGAAATTGGCAGCTTCAATTCTAAACATTGTAAAATATCTCCTGTTCCAACACATCATTCCATAAATCTGTGATGTGACCGTTTTACCACGAAATTGAAATCTCATTAAGGAAATTAAGAAAAGGACGCCCTTTATTCCACATCACTTAAATTAGTTTAATTGTAAATTTGCCATCATGACAACTTATTTTGTTTGTTTGTTTACGCCAATCAACCGTCCAGCGAAGATACAATTAACACCAGCATTTACTAATTACTCGACAGGTGATCTAACAACTAATTACACAAAATTGTTTAATCACTGGTAAGAGACAAATGACAATAAGATTATATTCTACAGTTTTATAATGTAATGCCAAATAATGTTCTTGTAATTTTAGTGTACCCAATTACAATATATTTGTGCCTGTTTTCAACAAATGAATGTTATACATCGTCATTTCATGCAAGGGCAAAGTAGAAGTTAATACATTGAAGCCATTTCAGTTATATTTAGGCTGCATCACAACCCGCTAAGCCGCTGTAATAAAAAAAAAAATCGATTAAAAAACAACTAATGTAATTCATATTTAACGTTATTCTTAAAAATGCATAGCTGACGTTTCTTTTTTCTATTATTTTATTGTAGATTTAATATTGAGAAAAGTGATCTATCGGAAGCTTTAAAACAAAGTTACGTGAAAATTGCAGACCCGCTTTAACAGGGCTGGGAATCAAAACTGCGTCGTATCCTAAAAAATGTAAACAAACGCCGCCATCTTGGAACGAAAAACGTATGTTTTTGTTTATAACCTTTTTTGTTGGAAATCACTGAAAACCAGATATATGTATTAACACGCTACACTATTTTCCGCTTCGTTCGGTATATGTTGCTTGCACAACTATTTTGTAAAACAAAAGTTATAGCGAACTTGCAACTCGAAGCGGGGCAGAATTTTTATGAAAATGTGTGGATACGACGCAGTTCATATTGCTTTATCTATCGTTTTTTTCCTTCAAATCAATTATATATTTGTTCCAGAGTTCACCATAAACTTCAGAATATAATTTTGCATCATTTACTAAAATTTCATTAAAAAGAGATGTTTATTTTCTAAGAAAATAATGATTTTTACGAAATGATACGACGCAGTTGGAAATAAAATATGATACGACGCAGTTGTATTTTTGGCAGTCTTTTCAACAGGGATAATTTTGGCAATATATTTCTGTTTTATGGAATAATCACTTATTTTATTGCTAGATAAAATCAAAGCACAGAAGGCGCTGAATTTGTTTGGGTCTCAGAATGTCAGAAAGGTGAAGGTTATGAGATTATAAACCAGTTTGTTTTTGTATAGTGCCATCAATGCTTTCCAGCGTTTTAATTGTAGTAAATTGGCTATAAGACTAATTGCAACATCGATATTCAATCCAATGTTTATTTGACTTAAACAATTTGAAAAAAAAAATGAGTTCCCTTAACTGGGATTTGAACTCCAGACCTCTCGCTTCATAAGCGAGCGCGCGCAAACCCCTCGGCCACGGTGAATTTATATGTTGTAGAAAATCTTATTATTATTCTAAATAAGGGTTTGTAACGACACTAACTGTTGTTTAACTCAGATGTAAACAATCATGGAGCTTACTATCAGCATGTATATCTATTAAAATAAAACAATATTAGAAATCTTCGACCATCCGGGAATTATTTTGCTTGAAAATTAATGCACCTGTCATTTCACCATCTTTACGCAATGATCTCCCCTGAATTTTTCGGCGTAAGTATAAAGGGAAGTTACCGCTTCAAAAAACCGGACTACTTTCGGCATTTGCAATTAACAGCATTAGAGTCTGAAATTTCGCTACCATTATTTGTTTGGTCTGACGACCCAAACAAATAAAAAACCCAGATCATTTTCGGTGTATAGCAATGTTCTGTTGCTTTTGATTATTTAGAATACATTGTGGCATGTCCAATATAACATTTAATTTGAAAGTTTACATTGCGGAAGCTACTTTTCAGTTAAACATGAACATGTTACCTATTTGATCAAAATATCTGAAATATTTTCTTATATTTTCCTGTATGTTCAATATTATCCCTAAGTTTTTTCGCAAAAAAAGAATGTAGAAATCTATTAACTTGAATTCATTTTGGCTAGCTACGCTCTAAGTTCACTGTGGTTCTACATGCTCTGGGTACATGACTGTTTTTTTTCAAACTTTCACTCTACACATTAGCTTTACTAGGGGCGAGGACCTCAGGTGCGCCTTTGTGCATTATTTCAGGTAAAATGCTGCAGCTGCAGAGAACCATCGACATTTGAAACTAGCTTGATAGGTTTTCCACACGAAAGAATAAAAAGTCCCTGGTGGTTTTCGAATTCATAGCAGTTCAGTTAAAGTGGTTTGAATTCAGTAAACATAAACAGCTCGGCCTCAGTCGGACACACCTGTCTGGTTTTTTTTTCAACAAAATTTGTTAACGTCAGCTGTTCAAATAAGCAGATTTTTATTAACTTCTGGCGTGAAGTTTTAAGAGAAATTTTCAATGTAAACAGGGGGTAATCCAAAAAACTTAACATTTTCAAAATCGAGTTACATATGATACAACTACAAATTATTTTGTAAAGAAGGTGTCCGTTTTGCATTTTACTCTGTACACCGATAAATTTGATACAGATATAGGCAGACATGATCTTTCAACAGTTCACAATAGTGAACAGAAAATTTAGGTCAGATTATCGCATCAATTTTCAACAGACTAGAGACATGGTATCTTAACATACCTTCATACTAAAGTGTGTTTTTTATTTGATAATAAATTGCCTGAAAACTTAAACAAAAGTTTTCAGAAAATGACTTCACAGAGGATTACCCCCTGTTTACATTGAAAATTTCTCTGCTAGTCATACCGAAATAAGAAATTTAAATGTTATTCTCTTTATAATTAATTCAAATATTTATAATATAATTCAAAAAAATTAATGTTAACATGGTTAAGTTTCAAATAATAAAGCTCATCTATTCTCACCGATTATTAAAAAAATGAATACAATAAAATCGGCACGTAAAAGACATAAAAGTAATAACGGCATTGACGGAAATTATTGCTAATTACAAGTAACAAAGCTAGGCATGCAATATGCGCATAGCTCTCTTCCGATAGCAAGAGACTTCTTCAAAATTTGTAATTTTTTCTCTTTTTTAAAAAAAAAAAAAGTAATTCCTGACAAATACAGGATATAGGAGAGGTTACACTGGAATATTGAATTTTGTATCAAAAATAGTAATACACTCCCATTTCGAACTCACGGGAACAATTTTAGAAGCATGCTAAGGCAACACTGGAACACGTTGTCATATGGGTGTGCGATCACGTGTTTCAATGTATATTGCATTTGATACATCTTTTCGGAATTTGTAGATGCTTATGATAGGTACTAAAATGCGACCGAAAATGAAGCCTTAATAGAATTGTATTACATTTCCATTTTTATGGAACCAATGAGTGACCTCTGCTTTTGACTTAAGTTGTAAACAAGAAATGTTGTTGGACGTTATAAGCATACCTAACACATAATTTAAATAGTTTAACCAATATGCAGCCTGCAATGAAAAATACAACTGCGTCATATCATATTTTATTTTCAACTGCGTCGTATCATTTCGTAAAAATCAATATTTTCTTGGAAAAT